GAGAGAGAGAGAGAGAGAGAGAGAGAGAGAGAGAGAGAGAGAGAGAGAGAGAGAGAGAGAGAGATAGAGAGAGAGATAGAGAGAGAGAGCAGAAGATAGAAGAAGAGAGACAGAGAGCAAGGATGGTGGGGACCAAAGCCCCGTCGATCGCTCCAGGCAAGCTCACGATACTGAACTTCAAGGCGCTTACGCTTACGTCGCCTGGTGTAAGCCGCGCGCGCACACAACTACGTGAGCCGCATCGGAAATTCGTGTATAGCGTTAATTTGGTTATTACCGGGCTTGCGGAATAATAACGCGAACGCGGCCGGCGTCGAAAGTCAGCCGGAACGAGAGATGCACGGACGCCTGGATCGATGGCAGCCGCGCGGGATACACCGCGGGTTTCGTTAGCTCCGTTAGTTCGCGTATTGGGTTTCGCATTCGGGCAAATTTATTTGCACCCGAGCCGCGATACGACGCGCGTCTCGCGTCGAGCACTTCGTTTCTGCCTGTGAAACCGGTGTTTTGGTTCGCGCGGAAAACCGAAACGAACGGGGAATCTAGAATTACGCTTATCAAAGATTATTGCAATTATGTTCACTTTAATTTCTTTCTTTCCTCTCTCTTCTTCTCTGCCCTCTGTCTATCTATTTATCTGTTGCAGTTTCTCTGACACATAGATACCTAATGCAGAATAACTAATGCAAAACAGCATCAGGTGCATACTTATAATATTTGTGTGACTTATTATTTCTCACAGCCTTTTAGGGAACTGTACCAACGCGGGCGTTTTCGAAATGTATTTATTTCTCAGGTATTTTTCCTCTCCGTATAGCTATTCTTTTTATCCGTATTGCTATTCTTTTTACCCGTCTATCTACCTATACTGAGAATAAAAATAAATAAAATAAGAAATAGAAATATTTATTCGATGAGTACCGACAACATATTTACATAAGTCTAAATTCTTTTGTTTAAATGGAATAAACAATTGCTTCCATGAAAAACAACGATTTTAGGAAAATATATATTTTCTCATCTGAAAGGAATGCTTTCTCAATGTAAAAATATATATTTCAGTACAGATGTCATTAGTACCCGTCGAATAAATTTTTCTTCTTCCTTTCAGAGATCTTTTCTTTCAGTGTATCCGAATATTCATTGTATCAGAGTCATTGTTTTATTAGACACATTCGTGGCTCGATACTACCGTTAACAATCCTATGTAGCCGAGTCCGTAATCCCTTCTGAATAGATAACGTCAGACTCCATACGAATGAGAGATCGGCCGCGGGATGTTCGTGCTGCGGTCAAGCTCGGTCGAAACGAACGAGTCTGCCTAATGATACTCCTCTAATTAGCGGCGCTATTTATAATTGGACACGGTAGAAAAAGAAGCGGACGACGTTCTGGTGCTCTTTCGCGACGTGGTTCCACACAGGATCCGGGTTAACTAGCTTTGCCAATTCGTTCCACACCACGCGCTTCTACTTGCAATACAGACAAAGAAAGGGCGTTGCGTTAACTGGATTTGCCGGTAACCGGGTCATGCTGCAAAATACAGCTCAGTATTTAATCGTGTTACCGATGCACGCTTCAGATCCGAATACGTTTCAGATCCGAATCTACTCTAGTGTTCAATTGCGCGTAATCGCGTCGAGTTTTAATTCTCCATTGCCTAAATTAATTTCTCATCTTTCAAGAATTTTTCATGTACATATTTAAAATTAAAGTACTCAACATATGAAATCTTATTTTTCTAATTTTTTATTTTCCCAAAATAAAAAAGGCAGTCATATTGTGACTTTCACATCGATCAAGGAAGGTATAACATTCATATTGGAAATAAATAATGATGAAACTGAATTGTGACTTGAAAGTCCTAGTGAGCAGTAGAGAATTAATATCTATCAATAGATAAAATTGATCGGCGAGACCGAGAGACGAAGACGGGCCACGCCGTCGAGATAATGATCTTCTGAACGAATGATGAGGTTTCCGGAAAGAAAGTTACGGTGAAAGTTACGGATCCGGAAATTTTGTTGTATTGTTTGCATCAAGAGATACATAAATGGATAGATAGAGAAAAGAAGAAGAGAGAAACAAAAACACACACACATAATCGGGGAGGGAAATTTTATGAAAAATATTCCAATATAAAACGAATATCGCGCGCTTACAAGGTACAATTATTTTACATAATAGAAGAAAAAAAAGTCAATTTTTCGGAGTTGCTTATCAAAGAGCGCTTCCGTTTGTGCAGCTTCCGTTAAGGGCAGCTGTGTGCACGTCGCCTGCTGCACAGAGTTGCACATTAGCTACGTCTCTCATTTGCTCGTGGTGGAATTATCGAGCGCGATCGGGCAAGAGGCCATTCGGCTTTTGTGTCTCCGATGCGCGAATTCAACACGCGGCACCTTTCGCCGTTTACAGAATACAGTTGGCAAAGCTACCCGATGGTTAGGCACACGCTGATCGATTCTATTTTGCGGTCAGCGCGGATCGATCGACACCCAATCCGACAAATGGCCTTACAGGATCGACAGGGCCTACGCTATTATAGGGAGTGACGCTTTAACGCCACATTGTCGCAATGGATACGCCGCGATTAGGGTTCGCCGTTTGCGGCGGTCAACAAACGACCGCAATCGTCCGCTTTCGCGAAGAATCGGATGAGCCGCGCGAGTCTATCCCGGGCGGAGAGAACCGCGAGAAATGTTTTATAGATGAAAAATATAGGGACACGCGCGCGCGCGCGCGTTCTTGATTGCCGTGTCAACACTCCTCGGAAATCCAGCAGCCACGAGACAAGAAGGAAATGTCACACGGCGGACACACAGCTTGTCCCGGGCTACTGTTGCCGCCTCCTCCTCCTCCTTCTCCTCCTTCTCCTCCTCCGTTGGGAGCAATCAAAAAACTACACGATATGATGATGCAATTTTGCACGTAAGCCCGTCGACTATCCAATTTGCGGGACTGGAACTCATCAAGGTGGGTTTACTTCGTGTGTGTATGTATGTATATGTGTGCGTTTGTGTGAGTGAGTGGCCGGTTCAGAGTTCTTACTCTCTCATGTCATTTTTTGATTACTCCCGAAAGAGATACAACGTCGGGGGATGCTGCATTCGAGAGCAGCATCCCTAAGCGCCGCGATGTAATTTTTATCGCGGTTTACTCGACCCGGTTATTCGTCCCTTGTATCTTCGATGCTTTTATTTCGCTTTTATTTCGCGTTATCGCGCGGATATTTTGGTACAATTGCGCGCTCATCGTAAATCAAAAGCTATCTTGCAGCGAGGACCGAGATATTCCGAAGACATTCCGAAGACTTATTTCCGAAGTATTGGCACGTTCTACTTTCCAGTTATGAATCAGCGCTTATTCCGCTGATTATTTCAGTTTTCAAGAAACAGACGAAAATAAAAGTGCGGTTATCGATTCAAGTACACTGATTCGGGCGACTGTCAATCATAGAGAGAGGAGACCAGCCACTGTTCATAAAACTAGTCGAAATAAAGCGCATTTGTCTCAACGTCATTTGAAGATTAATAACGTCACGCGACGGGATGGAATCGCGATAGGAAAACAGCCGTAATTCTCCACGAACAGCATGCTCTTTTCAAGCTAACAATCACAT